CTTGGAAATTATCTACGAAAACCTTCGCCAACGAATTGAGAACGGTAATGTTCTGTTACAATTTTGTTCTGACGGTCATTTGTTTCTGACCGAGACAAACTTCAAGCATAAGGAGAGACACTCTCAGAGCGTCCACCGACATCGAACCGGTGGTGGACAGAGATAGATCATATTGCTATAGGCCATCTTTGGAGAGGGTCGGTGAAGGATTGGGTTCCTTCTGAAGCACGTATTTGGACTCCGATCGTGGGCTAGCGTGGACACATCTATGTCTGAGCCCTACCATTTTCAGAAAATAGTCCTGTGCGTGCTAGATTGAAAGACGAGATCATAAAGTAAGTATATTGAGAAGAGATAGCTAAGCATATATCCGGACGTGAGAGCAGTTTTCATCTTGAGGAAAACTGGAGTGATATCAAGTCTGCTGTAGAAACGGAGGTAAAGATGGTCTGTAGCATACACCAGAAGCCCAGCAAACGTCATTGGATTTCTGCAACACCATCGGAACTGACTGATGTGGGAAGACTTATCTCAAGAGGTTAAGACCGCAATATAAAGCGAAAGCAACTTAAACGTAAATCGGTTGAGAGTCTTCGCCACGATTGCGAGCAGTGGTGGGCAGTGAAAGTGAGAGAAATGAAAAGAACATCAGCATTAGATGACGCGACAATTATTCAGGGCACATAAATATGCTAGTTAGAAGAAGACAATGGTAAGTGAGAGCATCACTGAAAACGATGAGGCACTGATAACCTCTCAGGACAGACACTCACAAAGCTGAGCAGAACACTTTGAAGCACAGTTCAACTGGCCTACAGCAACATTTCAGTTGCCCGGTATCCGGGCTGAACGTAAATGAGACGTAAATATAATTGGCTGCGGAGACTTTTTTTCATGCACTCAGCAGATATTAGCTATCGGAGATGCAGACATCGACATTGACAGGTTGGCTGACATCGCTGACCGTATGTACGAAAGGATGCCTTAACAGGTTGAAGGTATCGCTGAGCCAACATAAAATGACGGAGTGGCTGCTTTAGAGAGGAAGATAGACATACTTGCAAGACAACTGACGGCTTTGCAAGTAAACCGACGGTCATCAAAGTTCTGTAGAAGCAGATCCAGTAGTCGTGATAGGACCACGAGTGGAATTGTGTCTAAAAGTAGAACGGGCTGGTATCACGTGAAGTTTGGCATTAAAGCACGTCGTTGTTCGTCACCATGCCATTTTAAAACCTTTTCACCGGGGAACGGAAAGGCCGGTGATCAGTGACGACTGCTGTCGCCGGCGTACAACAACACAGTCGTTTGTTCCGAGTGACGGATAGGAAGACTGGAGCTCAATTTCTGGTTGACACTGGAGCGGAAGCGAGCGTGATCCCACCCACACCTTCCGAAAAACGCCATCCCAACCCAACTTTGGTACTACAAGCGGCAAATAGATCTGCTATTACTATATATGGGACCAGAATTCTGATCGTAGACATTGGCTCTCACACACCATTCCAGTGGGAATTCGTCATTGCTGATATATCGTTGCCTATCATTGGCATGGATTTCCTTCAACACTACGAACTATTGGTCGACTCTAGTCCCCATAGACTAGTCAGCCGTAATGGTGAATTTTCTATCACCGGTATCGTTACGGAGACAAAAACAATAAACTTAGTCGTAGCTCCAATAAAAACACTTCCGAGTACGATATCCTTCTGCGAGAATTTCCCGAGCTCACTCAAACGGATTACACGAAGTCCTCTCCAAAACACACGGTGACGCACCATATTCTTACAAAAGGTCCTCCAGTCTCATCAAAACCTCGACGCTTAGACCCTAAAAAGCTGCAGATAGCAAAACAGGAATTTGATAAACTTCTAAAGTTGGGAGTTATACGCCCTTCCAAAGCCCATGGTCATCACCCCTGCATATGGTACCTAAAAAAGCATCAGGGGAAATACGGCCTTGCGGTGATTATCGAGCGTTGAATAAGCGTACGGTCCCTGATAAGTATCCAATTCCTCACATACATGATTTTATGAACTCTATGACAAAAGTAAATATTTTTTCCAAGATTGACCTCGTGCGAGCTTACTATCACATTCCTGTGGAACCCAATGATGTTCCTAAGACGGCCATCACTACCCCTTCGGACTATTCGAATTTATTCGTATGCCGTTTGGTTTGACAAATGCTGCTCAAACATTCCAAAGATTTATAGATCAGGTACTCCATGGCTTACCTTTCGTCAGTGCATACATAGATGACTTAATAGTAGCTAGCGCATCTGAAACAGAGCACCTGCAACATCTGAGGACGCTTTTCGAACGACTGCGTGAATATGGCATTACAATCAATCCGCAGAAATGCGAATTTGGCAAGGAATCCCTACAGTTTTTGGGTCACATTGTTAATGCCAACGGTGTTAAACCGGTTCCGCAAGAAGTAGATGCAATTCGAGAATATCCTGTTCCAGACTCGTTTCGAAAGCTGCGAAGATTTCTGGGGTTAATAAACTTCTATCGACGTTTCATACCTAAATGTGCTGAAGTAGCCCAACCGCTGACAGATTTATTGCAAGGACGAGCCAAAGTGTTTCACATGACCCAAGCGGCCCATGATGCTTTTGACAAACTGAAGCTGGCTCTAAGTTCTGAAACTCTTCTCTCTCGTCGTGATTCAGAAGCACCACTAGCCATCATGACAGACGCTTCAAATGTTGCGGTAGGCGCAGTACTACAACAGTTTGTTCACGGTCAGTGGGAACCATTATCTTTCTTCTCGAAACGACTTAATGCTTCTCAATCGCGATACAGTACATTCGGCAGAGAGCTACTGGCGATTTACTTGGCTATCAAGCACTTTAGATATATGCTCGAAGGGTACTCATTTATAGTATTCACCGACCATAAGCCACTCACAAAAGCAATTGATGCAAAGCATGACAACTACTCGCCCCGAGAAATTCGACATTTAGAATTTATTTCACAATTCACTTCAGATATAAGGTATATCAAAGGCAGCAAAAATGAGGCAGCTGATGCTTTGTCTCGTATGTACGTAAACGTCTTAGAACGTGACCGTATTGACCTAGCAGAAATGGCAAAGTTGCAGGCGACGGATGAGGACTTGAAACATTTGAAAAACAATGTGAACACCTCATTACGTCTTGAAGAAGTGGCACATGATGACTCTGTATCCATCACCTGTGATTTATCCAAGGGTAAACCGCGCCCCATTTGCACCCTTGTCAATGACACGAATAGTCTTCTCTGAGATGCATGGCATTTCACATTCTGGTATTCGAGCTACGGTGAAGTTAATTACTGACCGATATGTCTGGCCAAAGATGAATCGAGATCTTCGACAGTGGTCCAGAGCTTGTTTAGCGTGCCAGCGATCGAAAGTGCAAAGACATATTCTTTCACCTACGGGAAGATTTTCCCACCGGATGGCAGATTTGACCATATACACGTTGACATCGTTGGACCACTACCTCCGTCAAATGGTTTTAGCTACATTTTAACATGTGTAGACCGATTCACGAGATGGCCAGTGGCAATACCTCTGCAGGATATATCTGCCGAAACAGTAGCGAGAAATATCATTCACTGGATTTCTAACTTTGGTGTCCCAAGTGTTATCACCACAGATAGAGGTGCGCAGTTCGAGAGTAGTCTATTTCAACAGTTAACTGAACTTCTCGGGATCAAGCGCATAAGAACCACTGCGTACCATCCTGCATCCAATGGTATTGTTTAAAGGTTCCATCGGTAACTAAAAGCAGCACTGATGGCAGTAAAGACTGATGACAAGTGGAGTGACAAATTACCACTAGTACTCCTTGGTATACGTTCGAGTGTCAAGCAGGACATTGGCTGCTGTACTGCTGAGTTAGTTTATGGAACTACTTTAAGATTGCCGGGAGAGTATTTTAACCCGGCAACAGACGTTCCACCGGACTTGACTAACTATGTACAACAACTACGGCGACACATGAGCACACTTCGACCTCAGTCCCCACGATACCGAGACAACCAAGTTTACGTACCTCAGTGCATCTCAAACTGCACTCACGTTTTCGTCCGACACGACAGCGTACGAAAACCCTTACAGCCCCCGTATGAAGGACCTTTCAAGGTAATTAATAAGTCAGACAAAGTTGTCACTGTCGAATGCTTGGGTAGACGAGAAACGGTCAGCATTGATAGAGTCAAACCAGCGTTTATGGGACCAGATGTCACGGATACCAAGTCTGAACCCCCAGTGAAGCAACCGGAAACACCAGAAACCGCAGTCAAAACATCAACAACGGCATTGGAATCACCCAATAGTAGCTATGGTAGTAGAACCACGAGATCCAGAAGAAGAGTCTGTTGGCCACGACGTTACTTTCAGACAATTTACATTTCATAAAACCAATTCCCTAGTAACATTATTACCGTTTTTGTTCATTACCTTGTTGAAAACATGACCACACGACTTTGTCAGACTTTTCCGCATGCACAAAACAAATTTTCGCTTGGCACCACGGACTTCCGAATCTTTTATTTCTTAACAATATTCCGGGTGATACGATTTTGGTTGTTAATTTTTTTAATCTCCGGATATATTATTACTTTGGTAAAGTTATTTTAGTGTTTCGGCTATCACACTCTTCATTTTTATGTAAGCACTCTTCCAATCAGTTTTCATCCTGATAATAGATATCCTTAACATTCCTTCTATGTTTTGAATATCTTTAAAATTAATTTACCTTTCTCATAACATCTTATATCGAACACAGATATTCTCTCTTATATATGTATTCTGGGGAGGGACTAATGTGGCATTTTATTTCACTGTATTGTGTTGATGTATGTAACAACTCATTGAACATTTTTTGTCAAGTTGTAGTGATAAAAACTTTTTGTTCGCTCGTTGACCAATACAGCATCCTGATATATATATATATATATATATATATATATATATATATATATATATATATATATATCGCGTTAACTCCTGATATTTACGCTGTCTGACGCAAGTGGATCAGCAGTGTCGGGAATAGTGTATCTGGACACGTATATAAAATTTGGAGTCATATTTCATAGCTTGACATGTCGATAAAATCTTCACCGTTCGCCAGCCTATGGGACACAGACATACTTACCGGCTGCCAGCACTTGCCTTATCTCTTGAGCTGAAGGCAACATTGGACTCTGTTGACCAAGATGTGTTGTGGCTATGAGGACAGTAAATATCCGATACTAATCAAATTTCTCTACCCGAGCCAAAGCTATACTAAGTTGACTCTGAATTAATGACAAGCAACGGGGTCTGTCAGGAGTACCTTCCGCCACCATTGGTTTGACTTATTTTATCGACTAACGGATGGATAAATCCTTAGGCAACTCAGACTTCATGGGAATTGATCTATCCTCTGGAGGGCATCTAGTTGACTTGAAGTATGCGGACGATATTGTCCTCTTAGGTGAAGACTCTAAAAATGTAATATTACTTCTGAACGCCTTTATTATAATCGTGTGTACTTTCAGGGTGCATTTGGCGCCTTTTATGCATGAAATGATGCTTCACGACAACTTTAGGACTGTTCCAGGTTTTATGATATAAAGCAGCGTGGTTTAACTAGCTGAACTCTTCTTCGTAGGAATTTCACTGACTGGAATTAATCTGCGCCCTAGGAAATTTCTGGCGTAATGGGGTTGAGATCGGCAACTTTTTATTTTAAGAGCAAGTTTCTGCACAGCTGTCCGCTTTGTCCTGTGCATTGCTGTTATTCACAGCCGGCAAAGATGGAAAATATGGTAAGGTATTTTGTTCTCAGCTATTGGTGTCTTGGAACCATATCTAACTTATGGTGAAATCACCATGTCAGAAATGTCGTAGTTAGATGAAGTATAGTAGGCAAGGAACGTATATCAGCTATTAAAGTTGTGAGCTTTCAGTGTTTGGAGTGGTTTATATGTGCTTTGCGCTAGCCGAATCTCAGTCTGCCTCGACATCCGATGTTGACTGAAATAAGATCGAGTTGAGAGAAAACTAAGGGTAGCCAGACTGATAGACTGATTTATAGACTTAAATCAGTGCTGAGTCCAAACGACCAGACAGCCATATCAGTTACCCGCTCTTTACCAATTCTTGTGGATTAGTAACCCATCTGAACTACACATTTTGTAAGTTAGAACAGACTACTGCGAGCATCTGAACGCCTTTTCAGTTGTTCTGTGTTGAACTCACAGCCGATGGTTCAGTATAAATTTAGATAAATCGTTTCAAAGTTCAGACACAAATTTACTGACTTCACTGTCGTCAGTCCTAAGTTTTAATTGTTCTTCACAGTATAAGAATGTTTAAAAGTCTTTGCACTTCAGTCCAAGTTAATTTTCATTTTGCAGAAATTTATATTTCATGACCTATCTATCGAACTCGGGGTGATCGTTATCATAATTTTATTTAAAAATGAATAAGTACTTAACGCATAAGGCTTTAATTTAACATTTGTTCATCATTTTGTCGTCTGTATTTAACTGAATAATATATATGATCAGCTTTGGTTTGTGTCCATTTCACTCACTTATGTTTTGTACAATTGGATTATATTTAAAACTAATATAAGTGAAGAATACTTTTATGCTTATTTGCATAGCTTGGTCAATTTGAACTGGTGCATACTGTGAATTATGCTATTGATAAATAATAGCGAACTTTTTCATGTGATGATATTGAATATTTTGTTAAAAATTTAGTTATATCTATGTGCATGTTTAATTTTAGTTAGACTTTCAACATCGAAATTTGTGGATGAATAAGTTATGTGTTTTAAAACAACTCCTAGAGATCAAGATCCATACGCTAATAGTCCAAGTCATAAGGCTTTTACTCGATCGTTTCTTTCGAAATCGACCGTGGAATTTGGTAAGTTTCATTTTGATGATCGTTTAATTTTTTCCTAAAATAACTGTTATAAACTGAGTCTGCTTTAACCATTGTGACTAACATCTCAACGGTAACTAGGATAATAATCTTGATGTTTATCTAAATCAGAAACAAAATATATCAAGATATATCGCGTGAATTACATTAACAACTAAACAAATTTAGGCTGATAAAATATATCTTTCGCTAAAATTTCAGCATACAATTCACTCTTTAGCTTTTCCTCTTAAATTCTTTGGCTGATATAAGCAATATTCTGTAAAATGGGTGGTCCACTCTTTCATCGAGCTGTTAATGCAAGTGTTGCCATTATATCTAGTTTCGTCCGAACACAAGTCAGTGATTTCTGTTTAATATGTCTCAGAAGTCTCCTTGTAAGTTATAGAGTACCTATCTATCAAGAGTTAGCCTTCGTTAAAAAGCAGTTAAATACCACAATTTACTGAATGTCCAGTGATTAGGGTTCGGAATTCACAGGCTCAGTAAAGGATATATTAGCAGCGGGGAAATGAAAACCAGGTCAAATCGCTAACATCCTGAACTATCCTAGACTATTTATTGTTTGGAAATGCTTTTAGTAGTCATTTCATCATTAAAAATGTAAATGTTTTAAGCTGTTTTGATTTCTTATTTGACTTAAGTAGCGGAATCGGAAAACTTGTGTGTAACCATTTGGGAATTTCATTTGCGATGACAATACAAGCTGTTTCAAAAAATATTGTGTAAAACGCCGAAGTTTTCATATACATGTTTTTATAGAAACTACTTAGAAGCTTGCATTGAATGTTTTCACTCCCTCAATCATGTCAAAGACATCCCGTTAATTATTTGTTGAAGGCAATGGACAACATTGCAATTATTACTTTCAGAAAAGATATTGAGCAGCAGAAAATTTTCTGGTTAACAAGTAGTGAGGGATTTTATACAAAGTGGTGATGAATTTGACCATTTAGAAAGTATGTAGATTTATAGATTTCAGTGATTGCCATTATAACAGACATGACTGTTATACACTCTTACCGAGAATCCTAAAATCATCGCACAAGCATGATATTAATACATTCTTTACTAGGGCAAATTCATTTTCGGAGGCTCGAAAAGAATGAAATTCTGACCACATCTTCAATTTCATCCCTAACCATCACCAGACAGTAGTGATAGATTTCGAGAAATCAACTTGTAAACTTGTGCCAGGGAAATGATTAAGAAACTAAATAATTTTCTGAGAGTAAATTTGGTCACCTAACTGACCTAATTGAGATAATTAAGGTTTGGTAGACTTTTTTTATTGATACTTGGTGATGACTGAAGGTAAAATGAAAATCTAGGTGGCGCCAGAACTTGAACAGGTGGACTCCGGGTTCCCGACCGGATTCTCTAAAAAATGAGCTAGGAGACCTAGCTGCTGTTTAGATATTAATTTTACTTCAATCACAAAGGCCTTTCTCGGCTGCTTTATGAATCCATGAATGTTCGTTAATCATAAGCACACCAATATTTTATAAATACGCAGGTAAGTTTTCTGTAACGTTCATCCTCTAAGGTACATGTTTAATGAGATTGACAAAAATATGCGTGGTACTTATGTCATAGCTTTTATTGACATTCGAGTTTTTAACATAGCAGACTATTTATGAAATTATGGAGAACATTTTTGTTCAAGAGGGGGGTTTTATGGTATTGTGTTTTCTGAGATAGATGGTATAATCACGAAGCTTGTATTGTCATGTCAGACAACATCATCAGCACAAACTTCAGAAAGAAGTGAGCCATAGGTTTTCCTCCACAAGTGGCTTAGTAGCTTATCCTGATGGACTTGCGTGTGATTAGTTGTTTCTGTCAAAGTTTTGTCAATGTCTCCATATTTATGTCAATTGATTGTTCTGATGACGTGAACTTTAATCTTGTTGTTTCTTATCGGTTGAAAGATTGGATAAATCTGTCCTTGGTTTGGGCTTGTTGAGAGATTTCTCCTATGCACTAGATTGAAATAAAGTTACAGAATGATATTTATCGAATTTTAACATACAACAAATAGGTGTTTAAAGTGGTGTTAGGATGTTCTGTTACTAAAATTTTTGTGTAGCACATGAACTTACATTCTTGCTTTACTTCCTTTCTCCTCTTTCATTATCTTTTTTTATCAATCACACATTTTTCGAAGTGATAAATTAGAATGTTTTCTCTTTCTGCACCTTGCTTTCAGACTTGACATTTTTCTTTTACAGAAAGAAAATTTGCGTTGTATATAAGTTCAGAGGGTTGTAATAAGTTAAAATTAGAACTGGTTAGTTCAAATAGCTGCAGAATTGAATACAGATATATGAATTTTTTTTATATTCTCTCATAGCCATATGACACACAGTAAAATGTCAACTGATGCAGACATCTGTCTAAAAGATAGAAGGTAAATACTCGTTACACAGATGAACTTCCCAAAGCTTAATATAGTGATCAGAATTATTCCCACTTTCAGAAGTAAATTCCATGCTTTGGAGATAGTCTTAATGAGATAGTACTGTCAACAAAATTTTTAGTAAGACAACAAAACCACACTACGTTTCATTTATTGTTTTCACAGTTGGATAAAAGCAGATAGTTAAGTGAAAGACATAAACTTCCGGAAAAGTAAAACTTCATAAATATCTTGAAGAGAGGATGAATAATAGTAACAGATGTGTAAGCCATGAAAGCGACAAACAAACTGATATAACTTGGGTCGTATACTTGAAACGGTGACTGATATGTACACATACTCTGACACTATCACATGCTTATGACTTTTTGTACGCCTTACAGTCTGAAGATTGCTACCTTCGTGAACTTTTTTACGCGCCTATTAGTCTCCAAATGAAATAAACACAAGACGAGGTATTTTCAAGCTTTAAACTGAGAGTCATTCTTTTTCTTGTAGAGTAGGAAACAGATGTTGTGTCATTCATGATCTATATCATGCATGTGTAAAATTGAATTATATGTCCACAAGACACTACAATCCACAAAAATGAAACAACTCATCTTGTGCACAGAAAAGCAGACTACCACAAAATAACTGATTTCGTTTAATATATAGTAATTTCGGAACGATAAGTCATAAGGAAGCAAATAAGGAGTCGATGAATAATAAAATGTCTTTTCAAATAAATAAAATAATGCAATTGAGGATGCTTGTCTCAGATTCCCATTTTCATCTATTGGATTAGCTATGGTATAGACCATGTAGCTGACTTCCACTTGAATTTGTGACGAATTTTGTGACAGTGCAGATATTGAATTCTGGGATGATATGATTTGAATGTGACTGCAAAGTAGAACTTGCAACAGTAGTTTCAGAATGTCAACATACTGAAACGAATTTGAAAAGTTTTACGAAAAAACCGGTAATTTTTTATCTTCGTTTCAGTCAAATATCTTTTAATATATACTTTCTCGTAGAGCACCTTCTAAATTCTACTTTTCGTCTCCTTTCATATGAAAATAGTATTGCTAGCCCCTTAAACAGTTACACGGATATTTGCAAATAACCTGTGAAACTGCCTGATTTATTTTTGCTGCAGTGAGCAGTCTATTTTGGGTACTCAAAGTTAGTGTACATCCCATATTTTAATCAATCCCTCTTGTGCTTGACATTTCGTGGACTAATGAAATTAACATATAAATCGTCGGAAAGTCAATTACCTGTAATTTCCTTTTATTTTTCTGTGACTAAATTCGGATTTCTAGCTAAATTCACTTTTGCTGAATACCAGCAACATGAAAAGTGCTTGGATTTGACAAGCAGGAAGATGGTAAATAATTAAGCAACAATTATTAGGGGCCAAAGAGAATAATGTTCAATTTTAACTAGTTGAACAGAAGATAAGATAGTTTCAACAAACGGCGTATGACACATTTTACTGGTCTTTTTTAATAATCATCAACCTACTGGATGAAAACTAATGACTTAAGAAATGCTACCAGGGCAAGGTCAGTTACGCATAGTATCCTTCTGCACTCAGAAGTTTGGTTAATGTCACGTGATTGGAGTTGATTCAATAAAGTGTAATGGGATTACATTGCTTTGCTTATTGATTATTTCAGAGGTAGTTGATATATGAAATCGTAAAGAATGTTTGTAAATTAGGCGGATGATCTTGATATATATAGTGTCCAAAAGCGGCTGAATGTCAAATGAGTGCACATCTGAAGGATTTTCGTATCTATGTTTCTTAACGTAATCAGTGGTTGATTTAGCTATTCAAACATATACTACTTTATACTGGGTATCCATGAGACATTAAGTCAAATATTTTTTCAACCTGTTCACAATGTGATATCAAGAGGACGTAAACGTCGTTTTTGCTTCTATAAGCCGATAAGAAACTACTTCTTCTGACTTCATTTTAATACTTCTAGTAATGAAATATAATCCACAACAACTGTACTGATATTCCCTAACCAATAAATTCGGACGCCGTTTATAATTTTGCGAGTGGATATGCATAGGTGTGTTAACAACTAAGTGATGTAAGTATTAATGATGGATAGTGCCTGAGAGTGAAGTAAAGTTTAAAAATCTTCAGAACAGAACTATCTAGGGAATAAACTTAGGGTGTGGTTGCACTCAAAGAGATAAGATACTTAAATATACAAAGCATTGTTAAGATTATTAAAAACTGTGACTACGAAGCTTGATGAATATTAACTTCGAAATGCAATTTCCAAAAAGCCTAAAACTACATTACTGTGTGGTACTCATTAGTGATATGCTTTGAGATGGATATCCCGAGGTTCTAATTAGAGACCCTGATCTTCGGATTCAGCCATTTGGAAGTGAAGCGAATGCCAGCTGAAGAACTTGTTATCTAGTCCCGCTACATCGTGAACTGACAGAAGTTCAAAACTGCGGACCATTGAACTCTGATTTTTTGGTTGAACGATTAACGCATTCGCCATGAAGCCCGAGGGTCCTGGGTTCCATCCCTGACCGGATCATGGGTGAGTACTGCTAGAGAGTAGCATACTAGGATAAACAGCTATCCGGTGCTCCTTGGTTTCCAACATATGTCAGTCCATGATCAATGCTATCTTAAAAATAAAACCCCCATTAAACGTCGAAGTACATTATGAATGCTTGGTTAGCATAAAACTGTAAATTAAAACTTACAGATAAAACCTTTTACCACTTTACCAAAAAGAACCGTGAATTAAAAGTAAACTTGAATGTAGTCACTTTTAACCATTGATGAAGTAAACTGATTGACTGTTTTCTGATATTTATTTATAAAAACCCTATAGGACAAGACGACTTTCTAGCCTGTCCACTTGGTGTGCTTTTTATGCTCAGCATCCTGTTAGGCACTGGAGGTGTACGAGGAAACACTGGATTTCAAATAGGAAAATCGCTGAGGTTAAAGTCAATGTTTTCACCTTCTAATCTGTCAGAGGCACGAGAAGAGACTAAATCACTATATAAGGAGCTTGTTGAGTCTTTCACAACGGAAACGACAACAAAGGATCAGCAAATAGGACAAGTTGTCAAAATATCTACAGGAATATTTATACAGGAGACTTTTGAAATAAACTCGAACTTTCAAGAAAGTGTGAAAGCAGATTTTCAAGAAGAAATAGAAAAGGTATGCTTTTCTTACTTAATTTCTGGGATGAATTCGTATACATTGTTAAGCAATTTCATATGCCACACCAAAGGAATAGTCGATTTTAAGGCATCAAGCATTTCATACTCGTTAGGGTTAACTAGCTATCAGATACATTAGCATAGAATTGAATTTCTGTGGATTTGATGTTTGGAGATTTGTGGTAAAACTCATAAATTCTGAGGTGTGATGATTGCGATTTGTGGTTCATGTGGTAAGGTCCATCTAAAGTGATGAACAAGCAATTTTGAAATGATCCTGAGAACTCTCTTTAATCAAACAATCACTTGTACAGTAGACTATAGTGCTAAACCATCTACCCCAGATAACCCTCCCTTTTTCAGAAGTGGCAGGAATGCATTATACTTCTACCGAATATATCATAGTCTGAGTTATTTTTGTAATGAACTGCAAAGCATACACACTCAACACTGAAATGGAATGTTCTGTGACAAAAAGAGGTCACAATTCATTCGTATCTCCTAGTTATACATTCCTGATAAGTGCTGATTGTCTACTGGGCACCTTGAATCACAAATGGTATGTGTTGAAGTTAACACATCATTTTATGTCTTCTTTCTTCAGAAAATGTAGTGTCACGGGAAACTCTTATTAAACGCCTTTGTCAGGAAAATGTTTACTTGCCAACATGTGATAGGCGTTCACTTCATAAACTAAGAAGCTCAGGATGTCACTTGAAATGCATCTGAATTTTCAAATTAGCTGTGTATTGGAATAGTGCATTCTTAAATGGGATGGCATCGTTTTAACTTCAAGAGGTTCGAAGCATAAAATCGCAATATGTTTCCATCAAAAACAAGGCACTCATCATTTGAAAAATGAAGTAAACTAATAAACTACTGTCGATATATTAATGAGGGGTAAAAATGTAAGGCGGAATAACCGAATACACATAAACGATTTGGAAATAGTATTTACTAGGGGTTATTGTCACCTAACACTGGAAGGAATGAAGTTGGAAAACAGTCTAAAGCAATATAAAAGACATGAAATGCAAATATCCTGGGGTCAACTCAGTGAAGAGACTTCGTTATGAACCGAAAATTTGAATTGCACCGGGAACAAATAATCTTTCAGTGCTCACCAGTGTACAGATATACCCTTGTCAGTGTCAGTCTATGATGAGAAGTGTCAAAGCTTTTTTCCAGGTGTATCAATGCTGCGTTTTACATTATTTGAAAATCGTTTAAGAATTTTGAAGATTAGCCAAAATATAGCATCTTGAAACGACTGAAAATATATATGACATTATGTGGGTGGATATGTGCTCAGACTGATTTAGTTAAAGCAAGGAGTTATAGTTAATTAGAAGATAGGGTAAACGAAAAAATTGACAACAAAATGCGAATAGATTACAGTCAGGATGAACCGAAAAAAACTACAACCAATTTATGATGTTCATAACCTCATCAGGTTAGGGAAGAAGAACACTGGAAGTCTTTGAAAGAGATGTGGAAAGAAACCTGCACAACCGTATTGGGAAGGAAGAAGAAAGAAGACAAGGAAGGAATGGATCTCAATCGATATACGGAAGCTGATAGAGAAGGAGAGGAGTATGATGAAGCAGAAGATAAACCAGTGCAAGGATGAACGACGAGAAGAGGAACTGAGTACAATGCATAAAACACTGGACAAGGAAGTAAAGAAGAGTGCACGCAAAGACAAAAGACGCTACTACGACACACTGGTAAGTGAAGCAGAACAGGCTGCAGGCTGGTAGGAGAGACCTGACAACATTGTGTCAAATAACCAGGTTGCTATCTGGTAGGGAAGAGATCAACATACACACATGAAACCAATAGAAGATGATGACGGAAGTTTGATTACGAGAGAAGAGAAACAGAGGAAACAATGGGCCGACCACTTCAAGAAGCTCTTGAATCGACCACCACCACCACCTGCACTTCGTCCAGAAATACCACCTACAGCACAGCCACAGTACTACAAGTGAACATAAATCCTCCAACAAAAATGGAAGTCCTAAACACTATAAAGCTACTGAAATGAGGGAAAGCAGCAGGACCAGATGTGATCCCACCAGAAGCACTGAGAGCAGACGCAGACAACAGGCAACTGCGGACATGCTCACACCACACCACTGTTGCAGAAGGTGTGGAAGGAGGGGAAGGTACCTGCCCATTGATTGAAAGAAGGGTTATGTTGTTAAACTGCCGAAGAAGGATGACCTAATTCTTCACAAGAACTGGCACGGAATCACTCTCCTGTTCACATAGAGCAAGTAAAACATTAAGCTGCATCATCCTGGAGAGGCTAGAGGATGTGCTGGATTCGAAACTACGACTGGAACAGGCAGGCTGGCTGGATTCAGGAAGTACAAATCATGTGCAGATCAAGTTGCAACGCTTCGCATCATCATAGAACAGAGTATAGAATGGCAGCTAACTGGATCTTCACCTCAACGTTATCTGCTTTGAGAAGGCTTTCGACAGTGTCGACCGAGAGGTAATTTGGAAACTGCTTCAATACTTCGAACACCGCAAACCTTTATCAGCCTCATTCAACAACTATATGAAGACGCCACATGCCAAGTAATTCACAATGGGAAGCTCAGTGATGCCTTTGCAGTGAAGTGAAGCCAGGAGTGAAACAAGGCTGTCTACTATCCCCCATGATATTCCTGATTGTGGTGGACTGACTGGATCATGCAGCAAACAGTGGGCAGCGAGAAGAGGGGTATACGCTAGCTGGACTGCGGAGAAGAACCTAGAAGACTTGGATTTCGCTGGTGACTTGTGTCAGATGTCACACAAACTTGAAGATCCACTGGCGAAAACTAACAAGTTGGCAGAAGAGGCAGGGCAGCGAAGACGGGACTTCAGGTGAATATAGAGAAGACAGAGGTGATGAAGATATCTAACCAACACCACACCAACAACAACAACTAACATCAATCACCATGGACGGGAGAAATTTAAAGGAAGAAACCTTTTTCACCGACACCTATCTAGGCAGCACTGTCTCAACTACAGGCAGCACAGGTACAGACGAGGATGCCAAAAGCAGCCAGGATCGGAAAAGCAAGACAGGCCTTCATTAGCCTGGAACCAGTGTGGAGATCCTCTGCACCCAGCACAAAGAGTGAACAACATCCGGATTTTCAACACCAACGTCAAGTCAGTGCATCTGCCTGGTTCAGAGACTTGGCGCGTTACGAAAGGAATTTCCAATAAACTACAGACATCATACATCAACAACTGCCTACGCTGACTCGTTACTGAAGATCAGATCGCCAGAACAATGAGAATAAGCAAGAAGGAGCTCTGGGAACGAACCAACCAAGAACCTATCACGCAACAAATATGCACTGGAAGGAAGTGGAGATGGATTGGGTAGGGCATAGACTGAGAAGGCCGACTGGGGACATCACGCGTCAGGCCAGTTGCTCGAGTGGAATCCCCATGGGAAGCGACGAGTTGGACGTCCAAGGGAGGGTGATATGGAGGAGATCATGTGAGGAGGAAATGAGAGGTTGTGGGCTGTCGTGGAGCCAGGTTCAAAAGATTCCAGAGAGTAGAGTGCACTAGAGACGTGCTAGTGAAGCCCTATGTTCCATTAGGAACCCAAGGGACTAATAATAAAATAATAATAATTTTATGATGTTTATAGTTTTAAGAGGAAGGCATCTAAAAGGTAACGTGTGCTGTGGGTGGCTAAAGTTTAGTTTGTAAAATTTTATGTTTATGTGGTAAATTCCACTGATGTATGTCATGATCAGGCAAACACTCAGAATGTAGAGAGATATGTAGAAGAAAATTAGTCCCAACATTAATACACAGTTTTCAGAATCGCACCAAAACATTCTGCCTATGCAAATAAATGCTAGTAGCAAATTTAACAAATTTCACAGTGTTATCTATCGGAAGAAAGAGAATTATATTCCTCCGTGCAATCGCTACAGAACATTTATGAGTGTGACATAACAACCAGGGCTTTCTTAACCAATGTTGATGCAAATCTTGTGATTCTCTCCTCCTCTACCATACATCTTTCAACGATCGATGCATTTGGAATAATATATTATCGGGTTGTAAATACCAGTTTCCTGTGTGCTCAGATTTAGCATATCAACAAACGAAATTTATGAAGGATATTGCAGGTTCCCTGAGTTTGATTTGAAATGTTCACTTATGATCAAAGTCCAGTGCATAATCACTTCTGATATGCAGTAAATAATACCTTTCCGTCGTGTGCTACAACGTATAAACGTTTTTCTTCAGAATTAAACTTCAATAAACAACCCATATTTTGCCTTTACACCTTTATTATTTGCCAGTATTCTAATTTGGCGTTTTTTAGGCATTTAAAGTGGAAACCAGACCGTACTCGTGTTTGCCTGCCTGCGTAAGGTTAGCTTCTCCAAGTCATTTCCAAAACGAAGTGATGTAGGTTAAATATATTACCTGACTGCCTGAAGAGAAATTGTAAATTCAAACACAAGACCCAACAATTGATGATTGCACGCCGAAGTAGATAAGAGCACAAATTCATTGATTTTTAAGCATATATCCTTGCCCGCAGAACAGTTGAACTTTCATAGTCATAAATCCTAAGCGTTGAGAATACTGATCCTAATAGCAAACATTTAAGGGTTATTGATCACTATACTTCTGAACAGCATGATGACAACAAAGTGTTTTTTATCCTGACCTATAGCTGCTATCTTGATGTGATGATTGGGCTTGCAAATCGCAATGACCCAGCTACCTATGCTGGTGAAATGCTTGTTCCCTCGAGATCCTACCATGCCAGAAAAGTTTGCTGGATAGTCGTAAGACCGTGCTCATGGGTGTATTGACAAAATAGGCATGCTCTGTCAGGTTCTGGAACACATGTACAGTCACTATTGACCAACACTTGCAGTATTTCTTGACCTGAAAGCTGCTTTCGACTCCATCGATCGAGGGATCTACTGGCTGTAACGCTAACACCGGTGTGCATGTTAGAGTCTATGGTGAATTGTCTGGTGAACTGTACACATCAAGTAGTGTCTCCTAAGGTTGTCCATTCTCTCCATTCCCATTCAATTCTATCACAAACGTACTTATGGAGGTTTTCCTCGCATCGTCTGACTTCACAGGGATTGACTTTGTTACTGGAGAGTTCTATATAGATCTCCAACATGCAGATGACTTAGGTCTATTAGTTGAAGATACTAACAAGATGGAGAATCTTCCCGACACCTTGAATGGAAATGTGAGAGTGTTTGAAATGGGTTTCTCACCATCCAAATAAGAATATTTGCTCTAAAACTGTACTTTAGTAATGGCCTGCCTAAGAATAACGAGTGAAATGGTTGAGCGCGTTGGCCACTTCACGTACCTTGGAAGTTGGATCACCATTGGTGGGTAAGTGGCCGACGAATTACCTGAAAGGATACAAAGAGCTCGACTGGCTTGTTCTGTCTCATGCCATATGTGGCTCGACCATGATATCCGACTGTCTATTAGGCACTGAGTGTACTGCTACATGGCTACATGGCTATGAAACACGGCAATTAAAGGTGGTAGATATAAGAAGACTTCAGACATTTGACTATCGTTGCCTACGTAACATTGGGGAATGGTCGTGCTGTTACCAAGTGAGTAGCGCTGAACTCAGATATAGAGTTTTGGTGAGAAGACGGATATTATTTGGTGAGGTTTTGAACCTTCATTAACTCAGGTGACTGGAATATACTCTATGCATCCCTAGTCACCATCTTCCTCGTCGTGTAATATTAGATGAAGTAGATTTAGGCTACAAGAAGTTTTTTATTGATTCCTTCTGTCTTTTCTTCACCACTCTCTTCTAATTTTGACCAATTCTTCCTTATCTTTCATCTTAGTGTTTTCTGGCTTCTTGCACTGATATGAGTTGTGGCAACCTAGACCGTTTACGCCATAACGCCTGGTCTTATTTGGGTTTTCATGGCAATAGTAACCACTACACATAAATTCCTAGCATTGAAAGGTTTGTTGAGTAAGTAACACACAACGTTAAAGTTTCAGTGAGTCATGAAGAAAATTCAGTGCTGAGAAATTTCGATTTGATGATTCATTTTCATTTTATATTCATAGTTACCATCAGCAAGTATGTTCACTAGTGGTTAATGAGGCAACACAATATTATCAAAAATTCTATTTAAAATATATTAGTAAACTGTTTTCAGCGTTATAATGAGACTGTGAAATAACCTAGAAAGTATTTGAAGAGGTAGGAAAAGTGAAACAGTAATATAAGGATAAAACTTAACCACAGTGGAACAGTAGTTAGGAAAGTGAAATTAACAATTGCATAGCAAGTTAGAAGAGGATGAAACAATTATATTAACAAATAACAATAAAATTAAAGAGCTCACACACACAGAATATGACCAAGGTGAAACCAAGGTTTCACATTAATCTTCTGAAAACAGAGATGAACTTATGAATTGCCAAGTCTTCTGGCCCTTTCGAGTGGCAAGTTCTTGTTCATTATGGCACGTTTTATTTCATCTTGTAAATAACTTTTAAGGTAGACTCTGTTGAAGCAAATTGATAACAGCTAACCAGAAATTCATAAATCGAGATATCGACCTTCAGACATCAAAATAGGATAAAGTTCGGAGATGTACTTGGATAGAATACACTTTGTACGGTCTAAGCTAGCTTAACTTTCTCTTTGCTTTTCCTCTTCCTGTTTCAATTTTTATTACACAGTCGTGCTGTAGTTCTAGAAACAATTTACTAGTGCATTCTATAACAAACTTTGATTACCTTCAGTTAACCTATTAGCGATAAATAGACAAAGTGTTCGTTATAACTATAAATAAGAATACACAATTTGTGAAAATGATTTGTTGTCAAATAGAATATGTCAAACTGTTAGTGTGCGTCAGTCAAATTCAATAATAATATTTTTTTATGACTTTATAATTTAAGTATTTGCGGGAGATTAAGTGAGTGGATATCTAATAAAAAGAAAGATCTGAATAGCTGATTTTCAATGGAACCACTTGCTGAAATGCTATTTATCAATCGCAGATAGAAAATTCTTCGTTTTTAATGGCAATAATAGAATTGATTCAATTGAAGGAAAATGCATGAACTAATTACTTAAACTTGCCGGTATGTTACCCACTTTTACACATTCGCAGTAGTACATCCATCACTGTTGAAAGCGTCATACGGTTGTCGTTCATACACTTTAAGTTTGTGTGCAAAGTCAGATGAGTCATAAATCTTCTGCTGAACACATTGTTTAACATCAGAAGAACAATTACATTGATTTAAATCGTAAAATGCTTCACCAATAAACCTCATCTCACGAAGAATTGCATAACCTCTGGACTTGCAATGCTCAGATATAGAATAAATTCTTCTTCTTCTTAGTGCAGTCTCGCTCATGTTTCGAAATGATACTTTGGGAGTATATGGAGCTGATGGTCTCAATATTGTGAATGTTAATTGAGTACGCTGCATTTCGTCCAAAGAAACGTAGAATTTGAAAGACTGAACAAAGCTTGGGTCTTTAGACGTCAGAAAGGACCGTGTGAAATATGAAACTGTATTTTTTTCGTGTCTTCTTAGTGAATCTACGACATGCTGAATCGGACGTAAATACACAACCAAAGTTTTCCGTATATTGTTAGGGATTGTGGTTACATTGCTAGTAACACTATTGTCAGTAATCACTTCACTGACCATTACATTCAGCACTTGCAGCTTTCGTGAATAAACATATGTGAAAAGTATGTGTCCCACTGTACACATTCCTTTTGCTAAATTCACACCTGATCTCTCGCATTTAGCTTTTTTCGTAAAAAAGGATGAGTAAAATAGACGTATACTTGGGAAGGATGCACTCTGCACGCCTGGAAGTGATACACTCTGTTCACTGAAACGACGTCTGACCTGAGGCCACATTGACTTTTCTGATGAAGACGTTTTTCGCCTAACTTGAAATTTTGTTTCTGGTGATCTACGATTTGCACGCAGATCTAAGTGTTTCCTAATATTCAGCTCACTCAACTTGAGTGTGGTGACACCTTTCATGTTAAATCTGGAAATAGTTTTTGTAAAAAAATTTTGAATGACACTTTGATCACTTGCTGCACTTTCAATAACAGGGAAATCGGTACTCTCATTGCACCTCTTGACACTATAAAAACGTCTGAGCCTGTCTTTTGCCTCGTTATACTTCTTGCAATCATATTTGCTGTGTTTCCGATTCATAATATTCTACACTGGGTAAATAAGAATAAAGCCATAATAGAATTTCTGACATAACTTTATTCTGTGCATGTATCAAAAAGTGTATATCAATGTGTTTGTAGTCATAAAATAGGAACCAAACGAGAGTTCTGTTTATGAACTCTAGTTATGAAGCAACATAGCTTACTTAATATTTACCAACGCAAAACTCTACTAAGATATAGGCAAATGTCTTATATGACATAAGGAGGAGGAAAGCCAACGATTGAGAAATTCCCTTACTGCTGATATTGTATGAAGTTATAACAATCATGTTTTATCTAAAAAAATATTGTGGATTATGAATTGAGATGTTTTTTGAATAAGTTAAAAATGTAATTTTAGTAGATGGAAAATATCTGCAAGAGATTCATTAAACTACATTATAACTGAGAGCATGACGAACGGCGTTCTTTGGAATAGAATACTTTAGATAACTTGACTTGTAAATGAATGATATATACCATTGAGAACGTGAACGGTTGACCAAAGGTTTTTAGATAACAGTTAAAGTTTTCTGTTTCGATGAACTTTAGATATAACCAAGGATCCAACTTATGATTTGTAATACCAGTTATGTGAAGAAGGAGAAAGTAACACTTTTAGGAGCACTGACATCCTATAATCTTATTGGATTATTAGGCCACGCACAGCACTGTAATAGATTCTTCTATCTGGGGTCAGAGTTAATTAAGTGGACCAGACATTAACAAATAGTGGTTTAAAACTGAGTTGGTCTTATCCTCTGGAAAATCATTCTCTATATTGTAAGTCAGTATCCTAGGATTTTCTTAATAGACGGTCGAAACTGATATTGTCTCCTGCATAGTGAATAAAGGCAAGTATTGCTGCTAAACAACTGTAAGTTAACAGAGAAGCAGTTGTGTTCTTTGTTGCTCAGTAGCAAAGGTCATCTATAGCTCTGAAGGTACTGGTGGTCAGTCAGGAATCCAGACTCACACCAGTAAGTGATACAGTCAGAGATATTACGACTCAGATATTTTGTCTATAATGGTTCATCTACCGAAATAAACAAGTTGAACTGATTGACACGAGTGATGTATTAAGTGACTGAGTACATAATATTTGCTGGTGGAAAAATGACTGGATTCAAGCAATCGCTTAGATACGTAGATAGGTATATGATCATTTATTTCTGGTTTGGAACCAGAACGTATAATGATACCTTCTTTTATTTAAATAATAGCCTCAAAGCTGTGAGGGCAAAACATTCTTCCTTGTTACTTAAAACTAGAAAACAAATACCATTTTTAGATATCACAGAAGTTATTACACACGCTAAACAAAATTTAGGATAGTTTTCCTACAAAATGACAGTGCAAAAGAAACTACATAGGCTATGGGATGGATGATCAGTTTAACTGAAATTCCTGAATGCCACTCATTCTTTAGCACGCCCAGTGGGACATACAACGCATGTGCTCTGAATATTTAAAAGTTGAAAAACAGGCAAATAGTTGACTACTCGCTATGGCTGTCTAGTAATCTTTGAGGTGGTTTCAAACGTTAAAGGTAAATGCAGCTTACGAAAATAGTTTATATCGTACACATATAAATACATCTTACTCACTTACCAGAAACAAGGTTCTTCCGGTGTTAAAGGTAACAATTATGTTTAACTTGATTTTTGTCTGATATTTTGGATGATAATTTCAAAGCAAGTTTTCATGCACTAACCTTTATCTATTTGTAATGAATAACACAAATAAATATTTGCTGGCACATATCCGTTTAGGAAATCGCAGTCTGCTTTGACTTTGGGGGTACTATGCTTCAGTGTTTGCGCAGATAAACCGGGAAATAATAGTTAATTGTATCCAACCTTTTTCACAGAAGCTAGCTTTCATCTGAAATCGAGTTTATACTGTGCGAAGACTACATTTACACACACTATCATTTGAGTGTATCGATGTATGTCTCTAAAGCAATGCAATCATTTTCACTGGCTGGATGATAATATCGTCATTCACATAGGCGTGTATTCTATGCACTGGTATTGGTCAAAATATTTATCAGTCACACTACTAAAGTGACCAATCAAAATGGCACGATATCTGAAATGGATGATCAAAGCTCCATTTCGACATGAGAATAAAATTCTGCAGTGAGTACAAAAACCGCTGGAAGAGAAATACTGTTGGGTTTACCAAGGATTCTGTGTCATTTATAGGACAATTGCTTCATCTACCGAGTTCGACTGACGATATTGACCAACATAATTTAGTGTCATTTGGTCACTCTAAGTCAGTTTATAATAAATTCAACTGGGTGAGCCAGGAAATTCTATAGTCAAGTTTTCCGATAAAGTAAATTGAATCTTCATAATTTACATTTCTTACTGTTGATAATTTGGCTGAAAATTCTTAAATGATTTGAAGATACTTTCGTTATCATTTTTCTAAGGTGGGTAATTTGATGGTATGGGAAAACCCGCATATATTTTTAAGGTACATCATGTAAGAAATGGAAAACATTGGTGTATGTAATATTCCTTAGTGATTTTTAGCGCTGTTTTCAATTGATTTTAATTAAATTGACAAGTAGTTCAAGCCAATTGTTTGAAAATCTCTGACATAAGCACGGAAATTTGTGGATAAAACTAGCGATTTTCTGACTATTTGGAATTATTTCATATTCTATGTACTTACCAGCATGCTCATTGTATTCAGTGGTGCCTTTGCATGTTAATTCTTCGTTTCTTGTAGCACTAAGTGGACTACTTAATTACCATCGATAGAAAAAACTGTAAGAAACAAAAGAATTAAAACACCTGAGTCAATGTTATTGTATAATTGCATTGGCAACACTATAGAGAATCAATTTAAATCGGAACATCCTTTCTTAAATGAAACTCAACCACCCTCTACTGCATGAGCTGAAAGGTACAGAAATGAAATGACAATTAGCAGCAATTTCAGTATATCATAACCTGGGAAATAAGCTTTACAAGATTTTAGTGCAAAGATTCGATGATAGTGTTCGCATATTGCGATATGGTGGTGCTGTGCTCAGTTTTTTCTCTTGTATGAGTGTACTGTAGGGGTTTTGAATTCGATCAAAAGTGGTGCACACTGGAATATGTTTCCTAGATGTTTGCCTTGCAGATGGCAACACAAATAAAACTACGTTGTAATTAAAGGGCTAACAAACTTGAGATCAAGTGTTCACCCTTAAAAGAGATAGATAACAATCAGTCAATGGATTGTAATGTAAAGGTTTCGTTTTTTGGTAGGAATAATATCTTCAAAGTTACACCAGAAACTTGGAATTAGAGCAAGAACTCAGTCAAGGATAACCTCGACTGGTTAAATAGTTCACTAGTTACTAGCCCGTTCTAGGCCCCGGTAAAGAGCGAAGGTTGGGCGTACGGCTAGCAACCCTACCCCGCAAAACAAATCCAACCGCTAAATAAACTTCAAAGCACAGAAAAAATATCAAGAATAAAAACTAACTTATTCCTCTTTGAAGTCAGAGAGACGAAATGACGGCAGTTGGTGAAAGCCTTATGGAAGCCAATCGGCTGACGTGTCTTCTCTCGATGAAAGCAAAAGTAAACGTGGGGACATGGAATGTCCGCACGATGTTTGAACCCAACAAGGTAGCCCAGATTGCAAACGAGATGAAGAGGTATCACATTGAAGTGTTAGGAATTCACGAAAGCAGATAGAATGGGAGTGGACTCTCCAAATTGTCAAGTGGAGAATCAATAATCTACTCCGATATTGTCAAGCAGACGACAACCACGAGCACACTGGTGTTTGGAGTGGCTATCATGATGTCCTCAAGAGCATCGAAGGCTCTCATGCAGTGGGACCAATCTCCTCCTGCAGGATCATGAGAGCAAGATTCAACTCAAAAGGAAGGAAGGTCACAATCATACAATGCTATGCACCTGCAAATAATGCAGAGCAAGAGAAGAAGGAGGAATTTTACAGACAACTGCAATCAACACTGGACAATACACCGCCTCAGTTGGCGACATCGAGATCCTAATGGACTACATGAGTGCCAAACTGGGAACGGACAACACAGGAGGAGAAGTGATCATGGGTTGAGAAGCGCTCGGTGAGGTGATGAACGAGAATGGAGAATTGTTTGCAGAATTCTGTGCATTTAACGATTTAGTGATTGGAGGTGAGGCAATGTGTTTAAGCACAAAGATATCCACAGAGCGACATGGATTTCACCAGATGGACACACTAAAAATCAAATCGACTTTATCTCAATCTCAAGAAAATGGAGACGCAGTCTACTTAACACAAGGTCAAGAAGAGGAGCAGATGTAGGTTCACACAACTCACTATCCAGTGCAAAAAACCATCAAAACCAGGTTGAAAGCCTTCAAGGAAGCTGATGATAGACCACAGTTTAAGCACAACACTCAGAAACTGAAGGACGAAACAACACAGAAAGTCTTCGCGTCAGCCATCAAGACAAAATGGGAGATATCGAGCAACACCTTTGAAGGAACCTGTGTGGAAGAACACTGGAAGTCTCTGAAAAAGATGTGGAAAGAAACCTGCACAACCGTATTGGGAAGGAAGAAGAAAGAAGACAAGGAAGGAATAGATCTCAATCGATATATGGAAGCCGATAGAGAAGGAGAGGAGGATGGTGAAGCAGAAGATAAACCAATGCAAGGATGAACGACGAGAAGAGGAACTGAGTACAATGTATAAAACACTACACTGGACAAAGAAGTGAAGAAGAGTGCACGCAAAGACAAAAGACACTTCTACGACACACTGACAAGTGAAGCAGAACAGACAGGCTGCAGGTAAGAGAGACCTGACAACATTGTGTCAAATAACCAGGTTGCTATCTGGTAGAGAAGAGGTCAACATACACACATGAAACCAATAGAAGATGATGACGGAAGTTTGATTACGAGAGAAGAGAAACAGAGGAAACAATGGGCCGACCACTTCAAGAAGCTCTTGAATCGACCACCACCACCACCTGCACTTCGTCCAGAAATACCACCTACAGCACAGCCACAGTACTACAAGTGAACATAAATCCTCCAACAAAAATGGAAGTCCTAAACACTATAAAGCTACTGAAATGAGGGAAAGCAGCAGGACCAGATGTGATCCCACCAGAAGCACTGAGAGCAGACGCAGACAACAGGCAACTGCGGACATGCTCACACCACACCACTGTTGCAGAAGGTGTGGAAGGAGGGGAAGGTACCTGCCCATTGATTGAAAGAAGGGTTATGTTGTTAAACTGCCGAAGAAGGATGACCTAATTCTTCACAAGAACTGGCACGGAATCACTCTCCTGTTCACATAGAGCAAGTAAAACATTAAGCTGCATCATCCTGGAGAGGCTAGAGGATGTGCTGGATTCGAAACTACGACTGGAACAGGCAGGCTGGCTGGATTCAGGAAGTACAAATCATGTGCAGATCAAGTTGCAACGCTTCGCATCATCATAGAACAGAGTATAGAATGGCAGCTAACTGGATCTTCACCTCAACGTTATCTGCTTTGAGAAGGCTTTCGACAGTGTCGACCGAGAGGTAATTTGGAAACTGCTTCAATACTTCGAACACCGCAAACCTTTATCAGCCTCATTCAACAACTATATGAAGACGCCACATGCCAAGTAATTCACAATGGGAAGCTCAGTGATGCCTTTGCAGTGAAGTGAAGCCAGGAGTGAAACAAGGCTGTCTACTATCCCCCATGATATTCCTGATTGTGGTGGACTGACTGGATCATGCAGCAAACAGTGGGCAGCGAGAAGAGGGGTATACGCTAGCTGGACTGCGGAGAAGAACCTAGAAGACTTGGATTTCGCTGGTGACTTGTGTCAGATGTCACACAAACTTGAAGATCCACTGGCGAAAACTAACAAGTTGGCAGAAGAGGCAGGGCAGCGAAGACGGGACTTCAGGTGAATATAGAGAAGACAGAGGTGATGAAGATATCTAACCAACACCACACCAACAACAACAACTAACATCAATCACCATGGACGGGAGAAATTTAAAGGAAGAAACCTTTTTCACCGACACCTATCTAGGCAGCACTGTCTCAACTACAGGCAGCACAGGTACAGACGAGGATGCCAAAAGCAGCCAGGATCGGAAAAGCAAGACAGGCCTTCATTAGCCTGGAACCAGTGTGGAGATCCTCTGCACCCAGCACAAAGAGTGAACAACATCCGGATTTTCAACACCAACGTCAAGTCAGTGCATCTGCCTGGTTCAGAGACTTGGCGCGTTACGAAAGGAATTTCCAATAAACTACAGACATCATACATCAACAACTGCCTACGCTGACTCGTTACTGAAGATCAGATCGCCAGAACAATGAGAATAAGCAAGAAGGAGCTCTGGGAACGAACCAACCAAGAACCTATCACGCAACAAATATGCACTGGAAGGAAGTGGAGATGGATTGGGTAGGGCATAGACTGAGAAGGCCGACTGGGGACATCACGCGTCAGGCCAGTTGCTCGAGTGGAATCCCCATGGGAAGCGACGAGTTGGACGTCCAAGGGAGGGTGATATGGAGGAGATCATGTGAGGAGGAAATGAGAGGTTGTGGGCTGTCGTGGAGCCAGGTTCAAAAGATTCCAGAGAGTAGAGTGCACTAGAGACGTGCTAGTGAAGCCCTATGTTCCACTAGGAACCCACAGGATGAATAAAATAGTAATGATTCAGTCAAAGAAAGGTCTAACTGTGTTATGTGTACCAGATTTTTGCTATTCGATTTGGAAACATGGAAGAGTTCAGTCCTTGAGGTGTCAGAGGATATAGATAAAGATAATGATTTTTCGACTTTCTTAGAGTTTTGTAGTTTGTTAATAAATGACTCATCACTATACTGTGTGACTTTGTCAGCACTTACTTCATGAATTTGTGAAGCATCATCAAGTTGAACGAATGTTAATATGGAATATTTGACGACATTGAGACTCATTGATTGTAGAAACTGCATTTACAGTATTTTGGCACAGGTCATCATAGGGTAATTAGTGTTTTGATGCATGATTCACAAACATAGATAAATTCACATAAACTGAAGAAATATATTCTCGAGAGAATACCACTCCTTCGACTTGAATTCTTTGCTCATTCATGTTTTATATGTCGCCTCACTAAGAACTCTATTATCAAGAACAGTGAAATTCAGAACATGTACTCTCATGTATGCATTGCCATAAAATGTCATGCATTAGGCCTGTGCTAGCAACATCCTTTATACCCCTTGTCACGAGGTATGTTGTGAAAACGGATTTGCTGATGTATGACCTACTGAAGATTGCAGAAAAAGTGGGCAAAATGTTTCATTTAGTCTTTTTTAGTAGCCTGTCCACTACAGCTACTTCGTACACCAGAAAGTGGTTTGACAAAAGTGGTGAAGACTGCACCGCACATCGTTTTGTGGTGTAATTTTCATATTCAGCTGACGACATTTTGTTGAGAACATATGATAAAATTAAACATAAGGGATTATTTTCTTCGTAACTATGATAAAATATGCACTCAAAAATAACACTACATCACAAGATACTTGCATTTAGTATGATTGCAAACTGCATTAACGTGCGCATGAAAAACTGCAGCAACCAATTTCAGGAAGATCTAAATAGCTGTTGGATTCATCAACCAGGCTTCAGTAACTCTCCCGGGGAAGTAACTTTCTACAAAAATAAGAAAGAAAGCAATTGACTGCTTCACCAGTTGCTAGGGTGGCCTTTAAAGTCACTCAAATGCAGTATGCTGTCTGGTTGCCTGAGCATCAAGTAATCAGTACAACAAAATCATCTAACTCAAAAACATCGAAAACAATTCATTGTCGTCTTACCAAAAAAAAAACCAAAGATGCTATCCATACCGAGATTAACATCAAAAATCGTATAAAAGCACATTATGGCAGAGGTAATTCGTTGCAACATGAAGAGTATCATTTGATGTCGCTAGGACTTTTGGATTATATAGTTTCCAATTACTTTTGGAGTGACATTTACTCTGGGTATCTTTGAATCTTCCAGCTGCTATCTTGCTAAGACATTAGCTGATAAAGGAAAATTAGCTTAGATATCTGTCTTTCATGAGAAAAATAATCTGTGATAACACAGCTAGGTTGACACCAAGTTAATAAGCTATAATACCTAACTACTGAGTCCTCATTTACTCTACCTTGTAGTGTGAAAGATGCCAGGGGCATATTCTGGAAGCTTCAAGCTGTAATTAAGTAAATCCGTTTAAGCACAACAACCTGATAAGTCCATGAGAACGGATACCTTATTAGGAAGCAATAAAAAGCTAAACGAAAATTTCAGTTTCTCCGTACTGCCGTGCTAAAGTGATAATACAAGAAGTGTTCACACCAAAGTACTCGGGAAGAGTATACAAAGTGAAAGTACATTCTCATTTTAAAAATTGCTGTCCAATACATCAAGTGAGCAAATGTGCAGTAAAACATTGACCAAAGCAGATATAGAAAAATATGAAACAGAGTAGAATTTCTAAGTGGTATTCTACAAACACAATCATGTGCATGTTTCCTTATGCATTGTATGGAAAAAGCGTCACTTCAATCTTATTCACATATACCACACATAAATTCATATCACTTAATCTATGGATTAGTCTCTATTAACGTTGCTTCACATCAGCAAGCCTTTGATGCTAAGATTAAATTTCCACAAAATATGTCATGATCCATTGTTAGCAATCGTGAAACCTTATTAAAATAGTCTTTTCTCATGATAACTCATGAAAAGAACACTTCGTATCGAATTCCTTTCCATCATTATTGTTTGTTGTTGTTTTTATAGCTTATAATTAGGGCGTTAATTACCAGGTAAAATGATACACACTTCATGCAGCAGGTTGTGTGGGTGTACTTACCACCAAGCCACTCACAGAGAACTTGTAGTAAACCTTAAACCACCTTGATAACCATGTAATTAGTCCTAATCCCCACCTATTTGATTTTTATTTTGGTTTTGTTATGTATTGGCTCTGTTAAAGAGTTTTTAATTCTCTGTTCATTGTATTGTCACTATTACTATTAGGATTATCATTGGTACTATCAGCATTTGTGTTGCCAACATGATTCAAATTTTACTTGCGATAACTTAGACACTCATCATATATTGTATGAGGTTAACTGTTGCCGGGTAAGGATTCCTTATTTTATCTACTTTCTTGTCTTAGATCTATTTTATTTGTAAGTTTTTTGGCCAAGCTAAATAAGCACTTTACCAGGTTAACTTTAAATGACAGAGGCATAGGCTTTAAAGTCTAACTATCAATAGGTCAGAGTAAAATTGGTAATAATAATGGTGCAATACTGTGAAGAAGGAGTTAAAAACCTCTACAGCATTAAGTACAGGAAAGCACCTCAGAGACGTTACATAGGATTTGCAATAAGGTTGGGATTATAGTGCGTTTAAACCTACAAACTCACTTAGAAATAAGCTTTGTAGGTTAAAATATCCTATTGATCCAATTAGGCAGATCAGTTTTTAGGTCGCCAAAACCTTTACATAGACTGCAAAGTCAAATACGTAGGTCAGCGTAGTCGAACAGGATCAGTTAGGTTATCCAAACTCAAAAGTCTAACTAAATCAAAAACTTTGGGTCCTAAAAAGACTAGGAATTAAGGAAAAAGCTTGGCCGTATCTATGTATGCAGCTACACGATCATACAACAGGATGAAACACAGTGCAGATCCTTAAAACTAACCCGCTGGGGTGGAGGGAGAGATTGGTAGCTGATTCTTTGTTTATTGAATTAACACCTAGTGTATGTAACAGGAATGACTCAGAACATGTTCAATATATCTAAAAAATCCTATTACTTTTATCATAAAAAAAGCGAGAAAATAAGAATCGTACAAATCATGCCTGAAAGTTGTTGAGTTATCTTTATGTGACTATTGACTATATATGGTGTTCGAAAAGTAATCCAGTAAATGCTACTGTCTTGCTGTGTGATATATCTAATATATGAACTAAAATGCAATTATATTCAACAACAGTGGCACAATGTTACTCTTATATTAAGCTGGGATCAATTAGCGATCAGAATGCGTAGGAATGTACGCTAACTCCCTCCAGAAACTTCTTCTTACAGAAAAAGCTATCTTATTCCTGTTATTTGCCATACAACCTCATGTTATGGATTCCGGCTTAACATCATTTGCGTAGCTCCTAGCTCACTACAAGTATACGATGTATGCGTTCAACTGTTTCTAATGAAGGAGAAAATTAATTTTATCATACGAAAAAAGCAGTTTCGAAATGAGTGCTAGTTCATCAGTTTTTTCCAGCAGCTTACAATGAAGTCGTCTGGTGGATTCATACTACCGGTTCTTAGACACAGTCAGTTGTGTAACTTTCAATGCAAAATGTAACATCTTTCAAGAATAAAATCGTGTAGGCATAAATAGACTTCAAAAGACATTCTTTTACACTGACTTTTCTTCTATTAAATACATTTAGTGATACAGTCCTCAAAGTTATACGAAATGTATTTTGTATTCACTATCATTATCTTTTAATACTAACGTCAGCTATATTTTAATACTGGCTGGTAGTATTCAGTGGTTCATATAACTTATCACAAAATAGAAATACTGATCCTGTTTTATGAATGATTAATAAATTACCGAACTAGTGCCTTCTGAAACTGTTGTTTACTGTTCGACTGACGTTGACATGCTTGTTTATTAGTATGACCAGATGGCACTCAGATAGCTATAAAATTTTACATATGATCAACAGTTACTCATTTCTAAATCCATAAGTGGAAAATAAACAGCTCCTAATCCTTTTTACTACATATAGGTGGACTTCATAAATCGTACCAGCGCTGCACTTCGTGTTAATCATTGGGTCAAAGAGAAATCGAATGGATTAGTTGAGAGATTCTTTACAAGTGCCAATGACATTCCAAATCATACTTGGATGATACTGATAAATGTTTTTTATTTTAAGGGTAAGTTGTAATTCTACGATTCACAAATTATGTAACTCAGCAAAATTATTTATGAATCAGTGAGTTACTTGTTAAGCACTTACTATAAATAAACATTAGTCCTTTGCTTCATAATTTCAGTTCATTTTGGAATTTTAAGTAGTGTGGGGGGCATAAACAAGAAAACGATAATCTGTGTGTACAAATCAATAAGATAAGAGGACAAATTTTCAGAATCTGACAGACCAGCTTTCTTTCATTCCATTCCATTTTGAAAACTAACATGATCAAAAGTTTAACTTCTTAGGCAACTTCAAGATTGGTGAATTCAGTGGTTGTGTATGGACCGAAATATTATTGTTGCGAGACAGAACAGTTCGATAGAATACTTTCTCGGAGAGTTTTGTGATCGATAGGAATGACGATGCCAGCATAATATTGATAGCAGATTGCATAATAAAGCAAGGAAAACAAAAAGAGCGCGAAGGTAGCAGAAAATATAGACGAAAATTAGATCCAACTCAATGAGTTGTATTCAAAAAATATTAAAATAAAAAAAATAGGTGGGGATTAGGACTAATTACATGGTTATCAAGGTGGTTTAAGGTTTACTACAAGTTCTCTGTGAGTGGCTTGGTGGTAAGTACACCCACAAAACCTGCTGCATGAAGTGTGTATCATTTTACCTGGTAATTAACGCCCTAATTATAAGCTATAAAAACAACAACAAACAATAATGATGGAAAGGAATTCGATACGAAGTGTTCTTTTCATGAGTTATCATGAGAAAAGACTATTTTAATAAGGTTTCACGATTGCTAACAATGGATCATGACATATTTTGTGGAAATTTAATCTTAGCATCAAAGGCTTGCTGATGTGAAGCAACGTTAATAGAGACTAATCCATAGATTAAGTGATATGAATTTATGTGTGGTATATGTGAATAAGATTGAAGTGACGCTTTTTCCATACAATGCATAAGGAAACATGCACATGATTGTGTTTGTAGAATACCACTTAGAAATTCTACTCTGTTTCATATTTTTCTATATCTGCTTTGGTCAATGTTTTACTGCACATTTGCTCACTTGATGTATTGGACAGCAATTTTTAAAATGAGAATGTACTTTCACTTTGTATACTCTTCCCGAGTACTTTGGTGTGAACACTTCTTGTATTATCACTTTAGCACGGCAGTACGGAGAAACTGAAATTTTCGTTTAGCTTTTTATTGCTTCCTAATAAGGTATCCGTTCTCATGGACTTATCAGGTTGTTGTGCTTAAACGGATTTACTTAATTACAGCTTGAAGCTTCCAGAATATGCCCCTGGCATCTTTCACACTACAAGGTAGAGTAAATGAGGACTCAGTAGTTAGGTATTATAGCTTATTAACTTGGTGTCAACCTAGCTGTGTTATCACAGATTATTTTTCTCATGAAAGACAGATATCTAAGCTAATTTTCCTTTATCAGCTAATGTCTTAGCAAGATAGCAGCTGGAAGATTCAAAGATACCCAGAGTAAATGTCACTCCAAAAGTAATTGGAAACTATATAATCCAAAAGTCCTAGCGACATCAAATGATACTCTTCATGTTGCAACGAATTACCTCTGCCATAATGTGCTTTTATACGATTTTTGATGTTAATCTCGGTATGGATAGCATCTTTGGTTTTTTTTTGGTAAGACGACAATGAACTGTTTTCGATGTTTTTGAGTTAGATGATTTTGTTGTACTGATTACTTGATGCTCAGGCAACCAGACAGCATACTGCATTTGAGTGACTTTAAAGGCCACCCTAGCAACTGGTGAAGCAGTCAATTGCTTTCTTTCTTATTTTTGTAGAAAGGTAATTCCCCAGGGGACAGGTGGATTGGAAGCAGCTCGATGTTTATGTTTCTTCTCATTAGTTTCTCGTACTCGAGGCTGTAGTTTTTCACATATTTAGCACATTTCAATGCAATATGTTCATTTAATTCCCTCTGTTGATGATTCTTGGAGGAGTTGGTAAAGAAATATTTTGAGTTGCAGAAATTAGCTGATCAGGGACAAAACTGTAATAACATTTATAAGAAGTTTCTAAAACGAATTCTTATCTTACAGAATTTCAATTTAAGGGAAAGAATTCTTAGTCTGTCCCACCCTTCAAAATTGAAACTACATCTATCTATTCAGTAGGTAAATAAGGATATTCTGGAATTGTTATGTAAATTTCAGTGATTGTCACATATATAAAGGAAATTAACTAATGATAGGCGTATTTTCTTGAACGCTGTTTGAAATTTTTCGTTTGATTTAGAGTACTTCATTTCCTCTGGGGTACAGTGATCTACTCGCTTTTTTTTGTTTTGCTAGATTTAAGAGAACTCCCTTGATATAGCTTATAATTTGTATATTTGGTTACTGAATTATAGTCAATATGTGGTACAAGTTCGACAATCCTAAAGCTTAGTCGCCTTTCTCATTTCTTTTCCATTACATAAATACATGCGTACACTAAAATGGAGGTATTCTGTGTTATAGTGTATATTGTCTGATGTATTGAAAATATTTGTTGCACGGGACACATCGTTGACGTTTTATTCCTGTTCCTTTAGCTGATTCTACCTGCTCCTAACTCCAAATTTACATCGATTCACTTGATAATGTGAAAGCAATAATTATAGAGTCCTTTAAAAGCAACTGAAAGTGTAATTCTCTCCCAACAGTATATCAGAGTGTCGGTTATTTGACGTACAATTTTGAACTAAGTTAAGCTACATACAATGTCTTCTGATTACTTAGTTTAGAGTTTGCTGAAATGCCGAATTTATTCAACATCAGGTTATTAATTAGGTTACATTAGGTCCTGTAGTTTTTTTACAATAATTTAAGCTCTCACTGCACCTGGTCGAAATTGACGTAGATCATTAAAAGGTAGCCACTGATTTGGCACTGATGTTATAAATTGATTGTAAATATCTTTATTGAAATGGAACACTGTGCAGCATGGAGCAAAATGACATGCCTGGTCAATATGCTGCATATCTTTTGTGTGATTATGTTTGACCTGATGTAGCGCATAAAGAGTATTATAAATCATCTGGAGCAGCAGAAAATTTGTAAACCGTTCGTTATCATCTCTAGATCATTGGGAAAATCCGTTCGAACCACACTATACAAGAATAGAAACCTTTAGTGTTTCTTCCACTCGTCACCTAAAAGTTCCAATGATGGCAAGTGAAGAAGTGCTGAAATATGGAAGATTTCAAGGTGATGGGTTTGAAGTAATCAGCAAGCCACTGAAGGTTGGTGATAAATAACAGTTATTGTTTACTTTATGATAAGCTAAACGTAACAGCTTTTAAAATTTATAATAGGTTTCCAATTTTTGCTAAGTTTCAAAGTATTTTAGTTTTGGTCATATCTGGCAACTGTATCTAATCACCATGCAATGCATTTATAAATGTTTTTTTGAATGAAGAAAATTATGGAATTTTACTAGTTCAAAAAGCAAAGATTTTTAATTCATAGGAATTATCATGCAGATTCCAGCTTCTTTTGTTGATACATTCACAAAGATTCTTTGGTTTCCTTGTTAAAGTTACACTTCTAAGATGGACAGTTTATTTTCTATCACAAATGCTTCAAAATATAAACGTTATATTCAAAATATTCAGATTAGTGTGCAATTCAGGTACTGTGTTGGAGTACGATCTAATGCTAGAATATCGGCTACATGCGAAATACATTTACACGATTTGCAGTTCGCAGTCATACCGCTCAATTTTCTCTGTCGACGCGATTCTACAGCTTTTCACACATTTGAAACGGCTACTGATTCATTTTATTTGCATGTAATTAGCATAGAACTAGTCACATTCCATAACTTCGTGTTTTAAGCTTTCATTTAACATCATTTATTTTATGATTATGTTTATTTAGCCTTGAATGTCATTTTAATTTAGTTTTGTTGAGAAGCCGCTTTGTATTTCCTAAAGTTCATCTGTTGCGTAACAAATCTAAGGAGATTTCAAAGTCAGAAAAACTGCGAAAAATCATCATGTCTTGATGTTCATGATGGGATATATATTAAACATCTGGCTGAATATATTCGGACAACCTAACTTAACAGATTTCTCACAGCGTTTGACATTTTCAAGCAGATTGGGGAATATTTCTTCTGTGATAATAAATTTAGAAACCAGTGAGTGTCCGAAATACTAAGCCAGGTGAATTCATAGATTTTATTAAACTTCTAAGGTTCCTAGCATCAACTACATAAATGTATTTGTCATGCTTTAACATATAGACACACATAAGAAAAGAATAAAACAGTTTAAAAGTTTTACTAAAGGTGCAAAATTTATTGAAGCAGTTGGTTATTTGAGTGATGAAAATCAGACTTGTTTTTTGAAAGCGATTAGAAATGATATACATTTTGAACTGTCAAGCAGCTTCACCAGATGGCACTAAAATTGCCTGAATTATCCCTTCGTAATACTGAAGAAAACGCGATTCACCACACGGAAGTTCTATCGACAACTTATTTGAAAGTTTTAAGCCTAAGAAGCATTATGTTTTCTGTGTAGGATAATCTGAAGTTTTCACGCGTACAAGAGTTATCGTTTCCTCTTTATACTCTTATAAGTAGAACTGAGTGATACCTCATTGGTTTCTCTTCATTTTTTACCAGGATATTCGCTTTACATTTGTCATTTTACTGCCTCTTAATAAATGGGAAATACATAAACCTGTTCAAGTCCTCAATGGAAATAAAATACTGAGTGAATATGTGAACACACTGAAGGAAACTACAGTATCACTACGACTACCAAGATTTAATTTGAAAAAAACAGTTGACCTTGTTAAGCCCATGGAAGCCATGGGTATCATCGATTTATTTCGTCCTTTAGAAGCAAATGTTTCAGGTAGGCAAGTAACATTATCAATTATTTTTTTGGATAAAGCAGGAAAAATGAAGTTTGTATAACAAAATGATATCATTCTATTCCACGAATTCTCTCTCTTCAGCTGCACACAGTCTAAAAGTATAGTGCTCATTGTTACATAAGATATCTCAAAATAAGGAAATCAGCAATTTTAAGTTGTACAACGAAGTCATTGATAATACATACAACGTTAATTTTAAAGAGGTAAGAAATGTAGGGAAGGAAAAAGAAGAATTATAAATAAACGAATAGTTATCTAGTGAAAATGGTACGGAATCAAATCATATTCACTACGAAGATGAGAGACTAACCACACTCACCTGTGTGTAAAGTCAGGTTGAAGGCGTTTCATTGTCATCGCTTCAGGGAAGCGCAGTAATCCAAACATTTTCTTTTCTTTTCTTTAGTTATTTTTAGAGCATTTGAGGTTTTAAACTGATGTCCTGTGTCTACGAAGTGTCTGGCAAATGCATTGGTTAGAATTTCACCTCCTTTCAAGCACATATCCCTTAGGATTTGCTCAGCGAACCGAATGGGAGCTCTCCTCTAAGTCCTTTTAATGTACTTGGTTTGAGTTCATTATACGTTGCATTACCAACCAACTTTTTCTTTAGAAAATCTCTAAGACGTTTATTTACTTTATTTTAAAATGTCAACCTGCAACCTGCTTACTAGCACCATCCGGGTGGAATCGTACCAAATCACTGAGAATTATTAACATTTTATTCATATGATCCTTTTCGTTCGTTATGACACCACAATGAAACTTCAAATACTTTAAAAACAACTAAAGAAAAGAAAAGAAAATGTTTGGATTACTGCGCTTCCCTGAAGCGGTGACAATGAAACGCCTTCAACCTGACTTTACACACAGGTGAGTGTGGTTAGTCTCTCATCTTCGTAGTGAATATGATTTGATTCCGTACCATTTTCACTAGATAACTATTCGTTTATTTATAATTCTTCTTTTTCCTTCCCTACATTTCTTACCTCTTTAAAATTAACGTTGTATGTATTATCAATGACTTCGTTGTACAACTTAAAATTGCTGATTTCCTTATTTTGAGATATCTTATGTAACAATGAGCACTATACTTTTAGACTGTGTGCAGCTGAAGAGAGAGAATTCGTGGAATAGAATGATATCATTTTGTTATGCAAACTTTGTTTTTTGTTTTATCTAAATTTATCGAGGAATCTTAATGCATAAAATATCTTTCTTATTATTTCTATGGCAGTTTTGAAATCTGTGGAAGTTAGATGCCAACAGCCCTTTTCAAATACTGATTTTATAAGTCTACTTACTCATAGTTGCTTTGAAATTTACCGTAGAAGATCGAGGTTTAAAATGATTTTGTCATAGATTTTGGGGTAATCTTTACTTACAATAGTGATTGAGATGCTTGACATTTGATAAAAAAAACGATTACATGGCTATTTGTGGTAAGTGACTCACTCGCAAGGTAATCTTTCCTATCACTTGTCAAGTCAGACTGCATAAGGTATGTTTAAGAAAATAAGCTAAATATTCATAAAGTAGTAAGAATACTGAAGTACTTTTTTAAAAATTTGTTGTATGCACAAGTTAACCAACGAATACTTGCTAACTCATAATTATCTTAGAATTTCTAGAAAAATATTTTGAGCGGCGCACTGTGCACAAGGCAGTATTAGTGTAAATTGTTTACACTTTAACACATGAAGTCTATATTTTACCATCAGTTTTCGAAAACTCTGTGAAACTGACAATCTTAAACTAATCATAAAGAATAAGCAAGTTAAAATGAGGTCACTGGCATTTGGAAATAATGACTAGACTCCGAAAAGCAAGAAAATCTTCGTAAAGTTACCAAACTGACTGCGCACAGCATTACTCATCACCTATATTTTACTTAAAAGGAGGATAGAATAATTCTTATATTTCATACAAACCTTCACTGGAAAGAACGCCTCGAATCTTGGAAAGCAACACAAAACTAAATAGGTGAATACTTAAATTGAATCTCAGTCAAAAATGTCACCAATTGCCGTTTTACATTATGGTCACACAAAAGTGGGGAAGAAGATTATTGGAGTGTAAACAGATCATAGTTTTCCACCAATGCAACACTGAAGCACAACGCAAGGTGACTGAACTGAAATTATCTTCTATTTGGCTGTGAACGTCCTTAACAGGCCAATAGTGTAACTAGTAACCACCCAGAAGTAGTTGGTTGCAATCAGGAGCTGACAAAAACATTCTATCAATGATGACTCTGTCTTGTTAATAAAGATTAATGTCAAAAGAAACATAAAAGCCAAGTCTGTGGCTTTACACTGATCTACTACTTACATTTAACAAGAAAAATGCTTTTGTCTATTTGACGTATATGTAGCAGACGCATTTTTTTAAAACAAACATACAATGAGAACATTCAAAATTCAAACATCTAGATAAAGCAAGTTTTGTTGAACCATTAGGCCATTTGTAGTTGCTTGTCAACTAAAATCAGTCATTATTTTTCTGAAATAAGTGATACCATTTTATTGCTTTCGTTTCATCAGTTGACCGCATATTAGCAATCTTTTTATGCAGCTTTATGAACGTGTACCATGTTCATCTATCTACTGTGATAAATTATTCCTTTTTGTTATGATATTAAGAAATATGCAGTCTTTCATACTGCACTGAAAAGAATCCGCTGAAGCAAGTCACTTATTGAAGAACTCAAATGTTCACACTTCAAAACTTGTGAACATCCATGCAGATAAACTGAAAGTTTACCTTGCATCTATTTTCGTTTTAAAGAAATTGCAGGTTACGTCCACTGAATATTTTATGACCTCATTTTTAAAACAATACGTGATTCTTGGCCATAAAAGTGAATGGTGAATTTCCTTCTCAGAAATTCGATACCAGAGTGATTGTCTGTCAATAAACTGTACGCTGAAGTTACGCACAAAATCCAAAACACAGGATTAGGCTGAAATAGGGTTATTTATGAATATGCAATAGTGATTAATAAGTTAAAAACCTCGAATCGTCAGGTATCTGTGAGTTTACCGCTGTCGATGCACCTTGCAGAGAGTACGACAATAGTACAACAGCAAGGTTGTCCAAGGCAATCCAACAGGTAATATAAAGGATGTGCGTATGCTCCCACGATAAAGTCAAGACATAAGATAAAGAAATTTTCAAAGTAACATAGAACGTCAGAGAGTAAAGTGAAGGATCCCAACACTGTCATGAACTGAAAAAGTAACTAATATCTAAAACGTTAAATGATGAGCAAGATATGGTTTAATAGAACTAACAGTCAAGTTATGGATGAAGTAACATTAGAAAAGATGAATTAAGCTACTCAATAATACTAAGTAGTATACAACTAAATACATAAAAGGGATACAAAATTAACGTCACACAGGATAAGCGAGAAAATGGTAGGCAAGGAATTAATACGAATACTTGTACTATATATAATATAGTACAGTATAGTATAGTATAGGGGAAAAACAAAATTTGAGTTTCTTAAGGCAGCAACATAAAAGTATGAAATTAAATTCCTATTTTGGTTGTTAAAGTCTGTCTTACTTTATATGGAAGTCTCATTTTAAGAAGGTTAATGTTCAATCTAAAGTGTAAATTAAGGATACTAGTAGTGATTATCTATTGACTGAAGTGATCAGTAATCACTGTAGATTCAGAAGAAGCTCAGAAAGATGTAGAAGTCTACATACTATTTATTCTATAGGAATCTGATATCACAAAATTAGAGTGGGTTCATGCTAATCATGTCCGAGGATTTCAAATATCTGTTGCTTCTTTTGGCTGCTGACACAGTGGAAGTTGAAGTCTTTATAGAATACATGAGAGAGGGTGGAAAAGTGATTTAGTGTGTCTCGAGGTTGGTCACTTATGAACCCTTTTAGGTGTGTTGCTTTCGAATGAGTCTCCAGCAGAACAAAAGGGAAAACATACCGGATTGAAACAGCCTTACCACAGTTAAAGAAAGTACGGCGAAAAGCAATGAGCTTCTGAACGAAATACTTCCCTTTGATTGCAACTCTGTTGGGTCAAAAATAAGAAGTCATTGAAATATACAGTATTTCACTGAAGTGGAAGTTTCTTTTAGTAATTTACTATCCGTTCAACCTTTTTTGTGCCTTAATTCGTTCAAAAGACAGGTGGTTCCGTTAGAATTGATTGTCTAGGTTATTTTGGTATGCATTCAACCATCTTTTCACGGTAGCAAGTACTGGACTATATTTTAAACAATTAAAACATATTTTCAACCACACCTTAAAACCACTTACAATATTGAGTAGTGCTCGCAGTTACTCACTGTCACTATTTACCTTCTTTGGTGTGACGCAATTTCAGAAGTAATGTGTTATAACTGACTTGGTGGTAGCTGGCAGAGAATTTCAGGAAAAGCGTTTCATCCTATTTCGGGACTTGTTGGCTGGATCTACCGGCATCCCAGTAGGTGACAGCGTTACTATATCGTCTCTATAGCCAGAGCGTTATCCACTACGCAATTAAGTCACGAGAGCCACCTACTGTGCAATGGGCACCAGGCAACTAGTCCTAAATGGGACGAAACGTGAGTCATGGATACCAGTGCCAGCCACTAATCAAAGTATAATGTTACGAATCGCTAGGCAGTATCAAGGAAACTGCACAGGAGCGCGTATGCTAACAATGGCCGATGGATTCAGTTTAACATGACAACAGGAAATTAATAGTGTCAGTAAGTAGTAACTGCACACTAATTGAAGGAATTCATAGCCTACGGTGCACCTTTTTTCAATTTGAAAAGAAGCAACTCTTCAGCTCAATGGTGTCATTATAAAAAGTGAATTATTTAGTTTAGATGTTTTTCAGTTGTCGTCAGTTGTTGATATGATATATGCACATATTTCACGAGTTATCCCATCAGACACATCATTTTCTGTTTGGATTATAGCCCTAGTAACAGCAGGTGTAAAAAAACATTTTCCGGTAATTTGAATGTTTATGAAGGAAACAGATACTTTGGATTTATTGGATCATTTGATCAACCTTGACTTTATTGACCGTATATTCATTCGCATCGGAAAGGCTGAATTTTTGAAACAGAATATTTGATAGCATGAATGAGCAACTTTCTGTTTACGTAAACCTAATTTATAAGTGTAATTTAATCGATATTTATTCAATGATGTACATCGTTTTAATATTATTGCTTGTATTATATCGTCGTTGATTGGACCGAATTGATCTGTCCGTCGCACAAAAGGTGGCTATCGTGGCTCGGTGGTCTAGTGGATAACTCTCTGGCATTTGAAGTGGTCGGCCCCTTTATTAATGAAGACCAACAACTTTTTTCTCGACTGTTCTTATTGCGGCTCTTGCAGTAAATATCTTCTTAGTAGTCATTAAAAATAATTTTTTCCGGAAATTAATTTCTTTGTTTCATTTTAGGCATTTCACCCAATGAAACATTATACATAAATGCAATTCTTCAGACAAGCATGCTGAAAGTGGATGAGAGTGGCATTGAAGCAGCCGCTGTTACTTCACCTATATTAGTACCGGTCTCATTCATTAGATCGGAAATCGATTTCCATGTAACTCATCCATTTATATGTTTTATTTATGATCAACAATTATCAATGCCGGTAATGGCAGCTAAAGTGGTTGAACCAATGCTATAATTATGGTAGAATGCTTATTATATTCTTCAGTTTGTTTTTTCATACTTCATAATTGTGGTCTCATTGTGTCCTTATTCTCTGTTGACCAGTTCTCATCACTGCAGTGAATGTAAGAATTTCATTGATTGTTTGGTAGGCAGAAAACTAACTTTACTGATCAGAATTAAATTTTGTCTTAAAGTGATATGACCACCTGACGCTTCACTGATCATTCGGTAAATGTGAAAGTGTAGTGAACTATGAACATTGTTTGACAACGTTTTGCAAATATAAAAGCTTTTATTGTTAAAAAAAACTTGCAACTTCAATAATTGTGGTCAAAGTTGACCCATAAATTTGGTTCTCAGAAACTTCAGTCATCAGTTCTGAAGACGAATACTGGTTAACTGGTCACAGTCAAACCAAATAGTTCAGTTAACGAGTAATATATTCATAACCATCAAGTCCTAATTATATGCTAGTTTCATCTAGTAAGAGAGAAGTTTCATTCAAGGGAAGAATTATTTGGAAAATATTGAAGTAAAATTCAAAAGCTGAAAATCATTTTAGCATTTGAGAGCGACTGAAACTGACTGAAGTTTTTAATACCTCATTAGTCGACTGGATTGAACCATCAAGCTAGAATACCTTAAGTGACATTTAAATGTACATATTTTTCTTGAAGTCCCACCATAAAAGTTAATCGACACTTGTTTCACTTTCCCAGCGATTGAATATTTGGCCTTCATAATCAAAAACTTATCTAATCAGTATTCAGAGGAGCACTGTCAAAAATGTTCTGAATGATCTGTGTCTAGTAGAATCAGTAGGTTTGTTGGTGAAGTGCAATGAACTTGCTTTTGAGTAGACCAATAATGAATCTGGGAGTTATTTGTCAAAAGTAAAGTGATGAACTATATGAACGTCGCAAACGGAAATGTTAAAAACTTAAATAAAACCAAACTTAAGCCACAGCCAAAAACGTTTTTTACTGTTTTTTATGTAACTGTCAGATTAAAACATAACATAGTCATATGTCAGGAGAAAGGTTGCTCCAAAAGTAAGCGTTAGACTGATCATATTCTTCTGAACGCATAAGTCACAGAACCTGGGTACGAATATGAAACAAATTTCTTCATCAAACACCTTCGTTATTAAAAGTAGTGTCATTAACTTACAACCACTGACTGTGATTTTATGTATTTCAGAATCTTAGTTATTGTGATTACTGTATGAAGCCTCTCACCATTGACTTTAATGATATAATGTAATATAAGCGATGGAGTTCAGGCAACCTAAATTTAATAGCTTTTTTCGGTAAGTGAAAGACCAATAGAGAAAATATATGAAGCTGGCCGAAATGGTAGTAGTTAGATGCTGGAAAAAATTTCACTTTGTTGTTTTCTCTTCACTGAATCCATTGACAGTTGTATGAAAGTTCACTAAGATTATTATCATTGATATTTTAATGTAGTGGAGTTCTAGGCTTTGCCACAGCTTTATTGCGGAAATGTTAAGCTTCTAACTAACAAAGAAATCAAGGTAGTTATTAACATTGCTAACTAATAAAAAGTTAATTCTGTTCACAAAAGTAACATCATGATCTAATAATTAGAGCAAACATTTTGCAAAACTTCATTTTTGAAGCAGACAGTCGGATGGTTCGGATGAAATCACTAGGTTCTAACGAAATAAACTTTCAGAATATCCCAGCTGGTGAATTCTACAAGCCGTGGGAAACATCGAACTCTTAGCTCTGAGACTGTCAACGATAGTTTATAAGTTAATTTTGGATGTCAGAGATAAAGCTACTACAATGTTTAGGTCAAAAACTAAAAGAACGCAATGAAGCATGCAAATGAAGCAGCTGCTTTCAAACTTCCAAAGTGATGACATACTTCCCAAACAACTGTGATCACAGATATTTCTGCAGACAGTGCAGGGAATCCTAGCACTCGTCTATACCTTGTTCTTGGTAGAGCTGGTTGGAGCAGATGACAGAGCAGTAGATGCTACCAAGCCAAACACGAGCATTTCAGCTGCAGTGCCTACTAGCACTGACTAACACAAAGACCCCTACCCTCCTTCAACAAGTCAGCCATCGAGTTTCGACGCTGTTTGCTCATATCACTAAATTGTATGGGTAGTTATGCAATACTGCGAAAGAAATGCGGGCTAGACGTTTATCCTACAATCACAAGTCTTTCCTGCGCTGCAGACTTTTCTCTAATACCTGAAACAGGTGCTCAAAGTCGCAACAATCCTAGTTTGAGTTGTGCCGGTACCACAGTCACAATGGTACCAACGCGAAGAGATGCATATAACCTAACACATCCGAGGCTAAACTGTCGGGAAACGCAAGATTCGGCACGTGCCGGTGGATGACATCGCTGGACAACCACTTCCGTGTTGACTCTTCTTAGTCACAGGTCGAAATTATGGGATAAACTCTATGCTTGATATCGGGAAAGAAGCTAGGGTCATCTCACGAGTGACCAACGTCTGTGCAACCTAGTGTTGCCAGCAGTTCGTCCATCCAGAATTATGGTCGAAACCTCCTCAGCCTTAGACTTCATCGTTCTTTCTGCGAGGTTTACATTGTGTCTGATGCTACCATTGGCATTAATAGCATGGATTTCTTACAGCACAATCAGCTGCTGGAAATTACAAGTTGGTTGGTTCTGACACGAGCCTTTCTGTTTCCGGTATTGTACAGTGTGCTTCATAGAGGACAATTACAGTTCTTAGTCGTCTGCTATTCAGCAATTTTTAGAGATCTTCAAGTCAAATCATTATGTACCTTGTGCGGTTCTCCTGACCTTGACATTGCTTACGCTGTCTTCGCCAAACAAGAGCAGTGTTGCGAAGATACCTCTGATCAAAACCCTGCAACCGATTCACGCCTTCTACTTTTAATCGCCATGTCTCACAACCGTATAACACGACAGGACGAACTGCATCGCGGCATACTCGTCCATTGGTAGAAAGTCGATGTCTCACCAGAATGTGCAAAATATGACGCCGGTTGGTAAATACCAAACACGCCTTCTGTATTTGAGCTAAGATTTCGTCAGCAACCAACCTATTCAGAAAGACGCAGCTCTACGTTGAAGTTGTCAGCACATTCCACCACTTTACTTCCTATCATTATATTGAGAGTGGTTTCAGATTAGTCCAGGAGCATCATCCTATTAGGCAAACAACCTTTGAAATTTCCCCATTAAGAAGGCCACTGCCTCCTCTTATGGTTGATATCCTGTAAGGTATGTAATCGTAGAGGGAGGAATCTGGCTATGACGCTGATATCATTTCACTGGCGCGTTAGTCTTTTTGAGTTCTGAAGTCATCCATCTTTTTCGTGGCCTCGCTATGCATCTTCACCGGAAAACCCAGGTAAAGTTCAAGCACAAGGAAAGCCACTATGTTAAGAATCTTAAGATATGGTCTCGATGATATTTCGAAGACTGTGTGAAATAGTTATTTCATGAAGGCCCAAAGCTATTCCGGAAAAATTATCCGAAGGGATTTGTCTTCATAACCACTTCTCCGCGAATAATGATTTTTTGATGGATAGGTAAAGACGACTTGTCGCTGATAGTCAATCCAATGAAGTGGTCAATAAGAGTGGAGTTAGCCTGAGTATCTTCAGCAGCTCATGGTTAAATTACTTTTCAGTCCCTCAGGCTTGCACTTTGCTCGCTGATGCTGTTCAATATTCTTGTGCTGAATAATCACCTTAGAGGCATTTGGCTCCATCATTTCAGTCTTACACCCGTCATATCTTGGTGTCAGTAGAAAATAAGAAAACTGAGAGCAAGTCCTGTTAGACTCATCGTTCATGAAGGTCGGAAAAAGGAAGGGTTCAAAAAGTGTCATCAAGAACACTCCAACGGAGAAAATCAATGGTAGATGAGGTGCTCGTTGAATTCCGCTACAAAATGTCTCTTGTTAGGTTATCGCCGGGGGCGATGCCGAAAGCTTTGACCAACTTACGGAAGATAAGTTTAAACAGTAGTATATTTCGTTAGACAGTGAAAAAGACCATTTCAGTTTTGAAGTTGTATTTAGTGCGGTGAATGGAATTTCTCTAACAAGTAGGCCGCGAACGGCACAAGCTGTGTAACCTTCCAGTACCCCAGTAAGTATGGGTAGTAAGGCTATGCATGTGCTCGACTGCATAATATGTACTGGAATTCATGGATATTATTGACAGGATGGCGGACTCGAACCACCTGTAACACTCAGTCCCACTCCACCGAGTTTGTAAACAGGCCAGAACCAGGAATTTTCAGTGCTAGTACGTAGACCCTTAGCATTAGTGGTGTTAACACACCATAGCCTCAAGATTTGTGTAGTACTGGAACACGGAGCAGTGGTATTGTCATGAGCGGTATTTAAAGAATTTTGCTACTCAAAAATAAAAGTGGGTCAAGTATTGGGTGATTTCCAGAGTTTTAAGTGGAATATCACTGAACAGGTCACATTCCTGTCGTTTTACCCCATTCATGTTTACGTTATTAAAGGTCAACTGATACGGCGTCTTGAATCTTCATTTACCCTTCCTACTTTTGGCCGCCTGAACTGATTCTGACGAAGGGGTTCATTTCCAGTAGTATCACCTAGAAGTGCGTCCTGTTGAAGTGGTCGACTGTGTAATAAGTGTTCTTTCTTTGGAGTCCAGGGCTCATCGGGTTCGGAGTGATAGCAGGAAGCACTAGATGTGAGAGACGAGGTTAAGTGGCATAAAACTAACTTGGCTTTCAATCAACATCAAACATATAGAGTGGGACCTGATTAATTAAGACTGGTCAACCGGAATCCACACTTATCCCCATTATTATTATTATCTATCACTTGGGTTCGTAGTGGAACATAGGGATTTAGTAGCACGCCCCCATTTCACTCTCTTCTCTGCAGTCATTAAGACCTGGCCCCATTACTGCTCACAAGCTTTCATTTCTTCCTTCATCTCACCCTCATCTCGGATGCCCAACTCGTCGTTTCCCTTGTGGACTACACTCGACGGGCCTGTCGCGCGATATCTCCGAATGACCTCCTCAGTGTGTACACAACCTGTAAAGGAAAAATGATCTGAAAATCTCTCCCGATCACCCTTGTTTGATTGTATTGACATTTGTTTAACATTTTTACCCTCGTTATGGATGGTGTACCTTTGACCCTCGCCGGTGTAATGTTATTTGCCTGTTTAACTGTCTTATTTGACTTTACACTCGGTATTTGCCTTTGTATGTTTGAGACTTATTATGAGTGTTTCACTTTCCTATTATGTGACGCTGGACTGTTGATA